CTCTGCAAAGGCAGAGGACTGGAACATGCCATCCTACCGCCTCCTGCTAAGGAAAGTATTCCAGCGAGAAAGAGAGAGGGGGGAAGGAAAATGGGTCATTGCCTTTGTTCCTGTCAGGATGCGAGAAGTAAACTGTTAGGAGCAGGCAGACTGGGAGCTTCTCAATAGGAACTAGCACAAAGAAAACACTATGAAAAATGTACAAAGAGTGTTTCCATATAAGGACATTACACAACATTTCAAAATAATCACTTTAGAGGGACCTTAACAAACCATCTCTACAGGCACAACAGCTCTCCTGATTTATCAAACGAGGCCTCTTTCTTTCCATCTGAGATTATATAAATCTGATACTTTAAAAAAAGTATTTAATAACCTAACAGGGAACCACAGAAGGCAGTAAAGACTTAAGTAGGTTTCCAAGTGCTGGAAACGGTCTAACAACATTAGCATTCTGAAGTCACGTTTTCAGACTTAAAGCAGACAGAGAAACACCAAGAGTATCTCAGTAAAATACCAATATTTGTGGTTTCTCACAAAAAGAACTGCAAAAACCCACAAAGAAATGTCAGATTCAAGTACTGAGGCACATAAATAAATAATTAAAAAAAAATTACAACCTCTCCAAGTGTCTTGCACACAGAGACACAAGGAAGGTATGTGAAAATTAAAAATTGCCTTGCTGTATTCGAAACTGGATATAGGGGTATTCAAATGCAAAGCAGTTAACTTTTTTTTTTTTTTTTTTTTGCTAGCTTACGCTAGCAAAGGTGTATGAATCACCCCACTCTACCAAACAACAGCGGGTGCAGCGGTGCCTGTCCTGTGTGTCAGGCTTTGTTCCAGCAGGCCCTCACCTCTGGCTGGAAACCCCCTCCCAGGAGCTCCCAGGGAGAAGCGTCACTCCCTCTCTATCAACAATCCCAGATGACTCCATTTTCCTCATTAGAAACGGATGTTACCAACTGAAGGAATCCTCTTTTACACATCAACAGTTGAATACATTCCTGCATTACTCTTATTCAGGAAAATGACTGTATTGCTTCCACCAAATACAGAATTTAACAGCGAACGCAACAACAACAAAACCCCAGCTACGGCACCTGCAGATAGACCGAGCGGAGTGCACGCCGCTGCTTTGTCTTTGAATCGCTATTCAGTGTTACAAGTTTTGCAGGCTTCGTTTTGGTAAGGTATTCGAACCAATGACGCACCATACAGATCAGTACTGGGAACGCACTGCTGTTCATCAAAACTCGCAACGTTTCTGTGACTTAACAGCACGCACATCCACAGCAAAGGGAGGCAAGGACTAAGCAAGAGAGAAGAACCACACATGAGCACTGTTCTTAAAAGCAAAAGGTCTAGGAAAAGCAATGCGTGAATCTAGAGCTCTAATCCTAAAGATTTTATCTAGAGTGCCATTTCAGCGTTAATATATTACCCTAGACAACTTCCTTTCTTACTCTTATTTCAATGAATGCAATCACTTAAATGCGCAAAGGCAGCAATGAAACTGCTCAAGTTAATGATCAGTTTTAGTGATTACATGCTTCCTACACAAGCAGCTTTTGACGGTATTTTCCCAGAGTTACTGTATCAGAGAAAAATACTGTAAAGCAGACCTGTAAATGTGAAAAGCAGGGGCTTTTTTAAATTAAAAAGCTAAACGTATCAGCCATGATCGCTCATAGGAAACAGGCAGCTCTGCTCACACCCACGAAGCTTAGCTATAACCCTGTAGGTTCTGGCGACGCATAGCAAGCAGCGATAAGTCGGTATTTTAAGTCACCCCCAAATCACGCTTCAGTCCCCCGATCCCGTGCAGGCTCTAACCCGCCTATGGGCGCTCATGGAAGAGCTACAAGCCCCAGGGCGTAAAGCACCCGCTCGGCGCGCTGCCC